TCACCGTGGTCTAAATTGTGATACCTAGGGGGGTCTGTAACGTACAACTGTTGTATAACCGGTCTATTCCTTCAGGTAGGGGGTTTATTTTTGGAAAGATCGCATAGACCAACAGTCAGTAAACAGTATCAGGACATAGGCCTGTACGTGTAAAACTTTGACCCACGAGTACGTTCTCCACATTTAGATTTCGACCCCTGCATACATTTTATTTCATAACCAAGTGCTCCTCGTTGCCAGAAAGCGGCATATACCGCCGATATAATCAATTTAAAGATATAATACTCCTCCAACAGAAAAAAAAGAAAATGTAGAGTAGACTTTCTTTTATTTATTTATTTTTCTTTTCAAATTCTGTTATTTCAGTAAATATAACTGTAGAGTTGATTACATTCCCGCAGACCTCAGTAAGGTTGCTGACATCAATGAGCTGTTCACCAGTGTCATCAAGTTATATCCAGAGGGCGTGGACGTTCTAATAAACAATGCAGGTACGCGTACAAAAGACAGCTGAAACGCTGGTGACTTGCAAAACGAAATGGGATTTGTTTTTTATGTACAGACACAGATGTGTCCGTACATATTGCCATCACCTGCGTCTGTCGTCGCCGATGCCGATGCCGATGCCGATGCCGTCGCCGGCGCCGTGCACTTTCCTTGTAAACACGATAAGTGGAAGGCAGTTTCACTTTTTGGCTTAATATTTACAGAGCTGATGAATATTCATAAAACGCAGGTCAAGTTCGAAAATCAGCATGATCGGGCCATTTTAAGGGAAGTTATGCTGTTTTTTCACTTTTTTCAGCATATATGCAACCCTGTAAACACATTTTAAGGAAAACCCCTAGGCCTGTTGTCATGAAACTCACAGTAGTGGTCAATCTTACTAAAATGGAGGTTGAGTTCGAAAATCAGCATAATCGGGGCATTATTTTAGAAGTTATGCTGTTTTTTCACATTTCCTCAGATTCAACTCTTAGGCATGTTAACAGTCTCATTATTGAACTAATAAGATACGTAAAAGTGTTTGTTTGACATTTCCTGCATCTTTACAACATTGTTAGTTGATTATGTAAAAATGATGGTAAACTTGTTATCGTGTATTGTGTAATAAAGTGTCAAAAATGGAAATAAACTCATATCATTGCAGTTTGTCAGATTTAATCATTCACTATGTTCAGAATCTCAGAATGGAGGAAATTAGACATTTAACACTATTCTATTGATATTTTCCCCATCTCATCAATTTTCTTAGTTGATCATATAAAAATTG